CAAGCATTGGGTAAGCACTGATGGTAAAAGCTAGGTTTTGTGGGAATTAAGACAGGTTAGCCCTCTTCCGGGAAGGTTAAAACTGGAAAACCCCTGACAAATTCCAGCTTGACAAAGACACAATGTAAATGGAGATTGCTCCCAGCAGCTAGAATGAAGCTTTAGATGGAGTCTAAAGTGATTCACTTCCATGTTCTTGGAACTACTTCCTCTGCAGATCTTTATTCATAGATTTTAAGGCCAGAAGGCAGGGCTGGATTTAGGGGCAGGCAACACAGGTGACAGCTTGGGGGCTGCTGTTTTTGTTGTTAGTGGCAAAAGAGGAAATAGAACGTTTGAAGTAAAATGTTTCAGGTATTCCGTATGTGGCTTCATTTTTCACTAACCTCCTAGAACGTTCTAGACCTTTATAGAATCTTGTGGAACCTTCCAGACTTTGAGAACTATATTTTGCTCGAACCTCCTAGAATGTTGTCAGCCATGTCCTCGTGTATATAAGGGGCAGGGCGTCGCCAGTCAGTGAGATAAGAGAACGAACTGAAGTGAATTGACAGCCCAGCTGCGATATTGTGATCCTTGTTTTAGTGTGTAATTGTGAACGTGTATGTGTGTTTTAAGACTTGACAAGTGTAAGTAGCAACTAATAAAGGACATTTAATGAGACGCCAGAGATATCGATCGAACCCCTATCTACGCAACAAAAAATACTGTTCTTTCTTTTGCCATGCTTAACACGTAATGTTTGATGACTTTCTAAGACTGCTGAACACAGGCTTTTGCTCTCCCTAGTACTGTCTGTTTTCCCCCGTAGAAAATAAAAGATGCCCCCAAAGAAGCCTTCAGGAGCTCAGTATAGGAAGCAAAAAACTCAATTGCAATATAGTTTGCAGCAAGAAGGAAATCTGATAGGAAAATATCTGAAACAGAACAACACAGGGTTAACATTCTAAGGCGGTCACCTGCTACAACACAATTTAATACTGGTCCACCCAATGTTGGGGCACCGTTCAATCTCTTGATGCGAGTACATTTCCATTACTCTGAAAATTAAAAAGTTTCTCTAAGCTTAGAGGAAACAATTTTTTTTTATTTGCTTATATATTGCATGAATAAATACAGCTTTACAGATCCTAGCATGCAAATTATCTTATAATGAGAGGGATAAATCATGCATGCAAATAGTGCAAAGTCGAGAATTGGGCTAAAAATGCAATAAAAAATAAGGTATTCGAAAGTTTAAGAAATGGAGGGGAGGCACCAAAAACACTCCTCACCTGGGGCACCATTTGGTCTAGGGCCAGCCCTCCCAGAAGGGACCATTGTGATCATCTAGTTGGACCTCCTGCAGAGCACAGGCATAGAGCCTCACTCAGCGAGCTCTGCATCAAGTCCATGAATTCTGGATGAACTAGAACATCACTTCTAAAAAGAGACATCCAATCTAGATATAAAAACTCCCAGCAATGGTGAAACTACCATGTCCCTAGATCAGTTCCAATAGTTAATTACCCTCACTGTAAAATATTGACACTTTTTGAACTACTCAAGTTTAGTTCTAGGGAAAGGTATCAGATAACAGCCCTGGAGACTGAAGTTTCCTGTTTATCCAGGAAGAGGAGTGACAGAAACAGCTCAAGTTTCCCCACGTTTCACTCCACCCATATGCCTCAGTCCTGATTTGGATGGCCAACAACAGTGAGGAAGGAATTGTCCCCATAGAATGTCTGGTACCACTATTAAGGCTGCCCACACGATCACTGACAGGTGTCAGTTGTGATGTGGACAGCTGCACAGTAAAAACTGGACAGAGAAATTCATTCCACACAGGTCTCCAAACAGCTGCCAGAGGGCAGTGCACTGGTCACTTCCACCCTATGAGAGATCCTACCAAGCAGCCTGCAGCTGCAAGAATACAGGAAAGCACCTCAGTGCCTTAGTCCTTTTGGGGACAGCTGGTGTTTGCAGTGTACAGAACTCTACATGGCATATGTACTGTGTTTGTTTGTCAATGAGAACTTGAGCGTGACCTTGGGTAGGGGACTCAAATCTGAGTTGAAGGGTTTAAGTATTGGATACATCCTTTGAAAGCGAGATTTAGGATAATCCTAAAATTAGTTAGCTATGCTAGCTTCGGCATGCCCACCTAACTGAGCCAGCTTCCCCCAGCTCATCCCCATTGTCTCAAGCGAAAGGCTGAGCAGACAATGACTGCAGTTTCCAGAAGCAGTTGATGCTCTAGCCTTCTTTTGCTTTTTCCAGCCCACTCTACCTGGGGCACTTAGACACACATCCCTGGCCAATAAGTCACTCCATGAATTCTTCATCCAAGCCATTTCCTGACTTTGTACACCCTAGTGTAACACTGGGCAGCCAAAAAGAACAGTGTATCCTTTGTGGCTGAGTGGTGACATTTCTTTTCCTCCCAACTCCTAACAGGCTTTACTTCTGTTTTGTAACTGTATTCAGCCTGACAACAGCCTTACAGTAAGTATAACAATAAATATTTCTGTTCTGTATCTGGGTAAAACAGATGATGTAGTCATATCATATGGTGATGTGAACAATCTTTCCATTCCGCCAGTATCCCAGGAGGATGTTAAACAGCAGCTACTAAAGTTAGACATTTTTAAATCAGCAGGCCTAGATAACTTGCATCCAAGAGTTTTACAAGAGCTGATTCAGGAGCTTTCTGAACCATTGATGTTGATTTTCAATAAGTCTTGGAGCACTGTGGAAGTTCCAGAAGACTAGAAGAAAGCTAATATTGTGCCAATATTTAAAAAGGGTAAACAGGATGACCTGACTTATTTCAGACATGGCCTGACATAGATCCCAGGCAAAATAATACAGCAGCTGATCCAGGACTTGATTAATAAAGAATTAAAGGAGGGTAATATAATTCATACCACTCAACATGAGTCTATGGAAAACAGATCCTGTCTGATTGATTGATATAAATTGATACTAAATTGATATATATATTTTTGATGAGATTACAAGTTTGGTTGATAAAGGTAACAGTGTTGATGTAGTATATTTAGACTCCTGTAAGGCATTTGACTTGGTACAGCACTACATTCTGATAAACTATAATAATATAAAATTAACATGGCACACGTTAAACGGCTTAAAAGCTGGCTGCTAGGAATGCAGAATGGCTAGCTATCCTGTGTAAAGATTTAGATTCTACAATCAGCTCCAAATCACACAGAGACAGCGTACCCAAAGAAGCAGGGGTGTGAGATCAGAATAGTAACTCTTTGCCTCATTGCCTGCTGCAAGACTGTCTCCAGAAAGAACAAAGCCTATTTTACCTCAAGTGTGCCTCCAGAGCGACTCTGGCTTCTGGGGAAGGAGCCAAACAGCAAGTTCTCCTATGCTGAATTAGCTCTGTGACCCTTTCCAGTAACACTTCTGGGTGTCGGTGCTTGAAAGGATCCAGAGGTGTCTCTGGGTCACGTCAGAAAAGTAGCAGTCTCCCCACAGTTGTACTTGATACAGGGTGATTCTATGGATTTGTCTACATGAACATGAGTTCGCAGCAAGCTAAGGTGCAAATCTACCCCGCTGTAGCCTGCTATGGTACACCCACATCTTGACTACTGCGTGCAGATGTGGTCGCCCCGTCTCAAAAAAGATCTATTGGAATTGGAAAAGGTTCAGAAAAGGGCAACAAAAATGATTAGAGGTATGGAACGGCTGCCATATGAGGAGAGATTAATAAGACTGGGACTTTTCAGCTTGGAAAAGAGATGACTAAGGGGGAATATGATAGAGGTCTATAAAATCATGACTGGTGTGGAGACAGTAAATAAGGAAGTGTTATTTACTCCTTCTCCTATCACATGAACTAGGGGTCACCAAATGAAATTAATAGACAGCCAGATTGATTGGAAGTATTTTTTCACACAACGCACAGTCAACCTGTGGAACTCCTTGTAAGAGGATGTTGTGAAGGCCAAGACTATAACAGGGTTCAAAAAGAACTAGATAACTTCATGGAGGATAGGTCCATTAATGGCTATTAGCCAGGATGGACAGGGATGATGTCCCTTGCTTCTGTTTGCCAGAAGCTGGGAATGGGCAACAGGATGGATCACTTGATGATTACCTGTTCTGTTCATTCCCTCTGGGGCACTTGGCATTGGCCACTGTCGGACGACAGGATACTGGGATAGATGGACCTTTGGTCTGACTCAGTATGGCCATTCTTATGGACTAACTGTCCACATAGACCTTGCTGAAGCACATAAGCAGTTCGATGATGCACTTTGATCTAGTCCCATTTCAAAGAGGATTAGATCAAAGCACATTAACAAAATGTTAATGTGTGTCAGCAGGATCCACACAGACAGCCTGCTGGAGGCTATGGAGGGGTGGATGCACACCCCAGCTTGCAACAGACTAATTGTTTACATAGACAAAACCTTATTGACGCGGCCCAGGAGTGCTGGAACCTTGGTAGAAGTGGTGGGGCCACGAGGCCCTGCCCCCTAGCCAGGCCAGACCTGGAACCGGCTGGGCAGTACTAAGAGCCACCCAGGGAACCCGGGCTGCTGTGGGGAGACTTGGACCCTCCATCTGCCCTGGGTGGGGAACCAGGGGGCTCACCTCAGCCCACCCCACCGAGAAGAGGCTGGTGCCGCTGGCAAGGGCTGCGTTTCATGGTGAGGAAGCTGATCACCTTATCTTCCCCACCCGCACTCTGTGCCTGCCCAAGGCTTGCAGCTTGGGTGGGGTAACGCAGCCCCCCGTCCCATTAAACTATGCCCACATTAAAAAGTGGGCAGGCATGGCTCCCCTGGCTCTGGCACTGCTGACTCTGCCTTATTTCAGCATTGAGGCTGCATTGGAGATTTTGTTCTCTTTTATAGTTTAGAATATTCATCTTAAGTGGCTCAGCAGGTCCCAGACTTGAAGACTGACTTTGGACATACAGTTTTCTCTTCAATCCTTAGGCAACAGCTACACATACTAGAGATTCAGATGAGATACTGTACCTTGAACACATCTTCCACGCAGCGGCTGAGCTCTGCCTCTTTCACCAGCACAGTCCCTGCTGGTAAGTCTTCCATTGCCATCTCTGAAAAAAACACAGAGCATGAGCATCCAGACTCTGCTGCCATCTGCACCTTCAAAGAGTAGCCTCTGGGAGCAGGAGAGTGACACCGTCCTGGCACATGGCTACAGTACCCAAAGCAGTTTAGTAGAGCAACACTGGACCCATATGCAAATAGGTTATAGGATAATAGATGGAGGGAAGTGAAGAGTTAAGGGTGAAATCAGCAGCCCCCAAGTCTACTCTACAAAGTTAGGCTGACATAAGCCACCGTGCGTTGATCTAGTTACACATGTGTCTACACTTAAATTGGTCTCCAATTCATGTAAGTGCTCCATTACGCTGACATAGTACCACCACCTCCCCGAGGGGCATTGAGCCATGGAGGATGTATTGAGGTTGATTCAGTATGAGTGTAAACGCTGTGCTGCCTATGTTGACCCTAACAGTCCTCCAGCAGCTGTCCCACAATGCCCAACACTGACCTCTCTGGTCTCAGTTGTGAACTCCACTGCCCGGGGTCATGCAGACTGGAAGCATGCCAGCCCCACCCCCCCTCCTTAAAGCCCTGCAAATTCTTGAAATGCCTTTTCCTGATTGCCCGGAATGGTGAGCACGCCTAGCAGCTCTCCATTATTGCATGCAACTGCCCAGCTGACCATGAAGGCTACATGCACTACACACAGAATCACAGGACTGGAAGGGACTTGAGAGGTCATCTAGTCCAGTCCCCTGCACTCATGGCAGGACTAAGTATTATCTAGACCATCCCTGGGATTCCACAGCCACCCTAGGCAATTTATTCCAGTGCTTAATCACTCTGACAGGAAGTTTTTCCTAATGTTCAACCTAAACCTCCCTTGCTGCAATTTAAGTCCATTCCTTCTTGTCCTATCCTCGGAGGTTAAGGAGGATAACTTTTCTCCCTCCTCCTTGTAACAACCTTTTTTGTACTTGAAAAATGTTATGCCCCCTCTCAGTCTTCTCTTCTCCAGACTAAACAAACCCAATTTTTTCAATCTTCCCTTATACATCATGTTTTCTAGACATTTAATCACTTTGGATGGGCTAGCACCAGCAGGAGAGTGAATTTGTGTGGGGGGGTGGAGGGTGAGAAAACCTGGATTTGTGCTGGAAATGGCCCACCTGTTGATCATTTTAGATAAGCTATTACCAGCAGGACAGTGGGGTGGGAGGAGGTAGTGTTTCATATTCTCTGTGTGTATATAAAGTCTGCTGCAGTTTCCACAGTAAACATCTGATGAAGTGAGCTGTAGCTCACGAAAGCTCATGCTCAAATAAATTGGTTAGTCTCTAAGGTGCCACAAGTACTCCTTTTCTTTAATCATTTTTGTTACTCTTCTCTGGACTTTCTCCAATTTGTCCACATCTTTCCTGAAATGTGACGCCCAGAACTGGACACAATACTCCAGTTGAGGCCTACTCAGTGCGGAGTAGAGCGGGAGAATTACTTCTCGTGTCTTGCTTACATGCTCCAGCCTGGAGTAGACAGGAGATATTGGATCCCCTGGGCCTGTGGGGAGAGGAGGCTGTGTAGGTACTGCTATGGACCAGCCATAGAGATATCAACATCTACGAGCAGATTGCACGGGGATGCAGGAGAAGGGACCAGCAGCAGCGACACATGAAAGCAAAGGCACTGTAGAAGGCATACCAGGAGACCAGGGAGGCCAACAGTAGACCCGGTGTCAAGCTACAGACCTGCCGTTTTACAAAGAGCCGCATGCCATACTTGGTGGAGACACCACCAGCACCCCTCACACCACCATGGATGTTTCTAAGGAGCCAAGCCACAGGCCTCTAGCCTGAAAAGTGAGGAGGAGGAGGGAGAGGAGGAAGGGGAGGAGCTGGGGACATGCGACCAGGGGATTCAGCTATGCTGCAAGTCAGGGCCTGTTTGAGACTGCACCACAGTGTAGCCAGGGCAAGGGGGGGGAGGATGTGTGGGTAAGGACGTACTGTAAATTTATTTCCCATTACAGTGATGGCAATGTTACAAGAGACATTGACTGGCAAAACCACAGCAATTTTGTGCACTCCACCAACATTAATTGGAAGCGAGAACACCTGATAGTCAGGAATAACTTGGGTGTTGTGTAAGGATACAAAATAGCTGCAGCTGCAGTTTTGCTGATAAGGATAAAAAGTAAAAATTAGAAGAACCATGAGAATGGGTTGAAGTGTGGATAGCTGACGTTAGATCTAGGACAGTGGTCACCAACCCCGTCGATCACAATCGACAGGTCGATCCTGGGGACTCTCCCAATCAATCGCGATCTCTGGTGGTGTAGCAGGGCTGCTGCAGCCCCACATTGCTCCCAAAAGTGGCCAGAGTGCCCCAGCGGCCCTGGGTGGGTGGGGGAGCACAAGGGTCTCCGTGCACTGCTCCTGCCAGCAAGCACCACCCCCACAGCTCCCATTGGCCGGGAATGGGAAACTGTGGCCAATGGGAGCTTTGGGGGAGGTGCTTGCAGAGAGGGACAGCGTGCAGAACCACATCCCCCTACCCCCAAAGGGCCACAGAGGTGCGTTGGCCCCTTCCGGGAGCAGCGTGGAGCCAGGGCAGGCAGGGAGCCTGCCTTAGCCTCGCTGTGCCACGAACCAGGAGCTGCCCACGGAAAGTGCCGCCCAGCAGGAGGCCACACTCCAACCCCCAGCCCTGAGCCCCCTCCCGGAGCCAACACCCCAAACCTCCTTCTGCACCCCAATCCCCAGCCCTGAGCTCCCTCCCAGAGCCAGCACCCCATACTTCCTCCTACACCCTGAACCCCCTCCTGCACTCCAAGCCTCCGCCCCATCCCAGAGCCCCTCCTGTACCCAAAAACCCTCCCAGAGCTTGCACCACTCACCCCCTCCTGCACCCCAACCCCCTACCCCAGGCTCAGCCCAGAGCCTCCTTCCACACTGCTAACCTCTTGGCCCCAACTCAGAGCCCGCACGCACTCCCAAACCCCTTCCCCAGACCAGTGAAAGTGAGTGAGGGTGGGAGAGAGTGAGCAATGGGGGGGGGGGTGGAGTGAGTGGGGCTTTGGGGAAGGAGCGGGGCAGATCCTGGGTTGCCCTTAAATTCAAAAAGTAGTCTTGGGCATGAAAAGGTTGGAGACCATTGATGTAGGTGTTCCTGATTAGGAGTTTTTGCTAACGTTATGGGCTAGGAGCTGCTTGCTGATGACAGGAAAATTGTTCATTTGCAAGGGTTACTATGAGTTATGTGCTTTGTTTTGAGCAACTTATAAAAACATAAGTCAGAATATGTAAATTGGAGAAGTTTTTCTACTTGCTCGGAGGCTGACATCCCACGCTCCAGCAGCTAGGAGGAAGGGTGGCCACCAGAAACCTGCCACTGACCGCTCGACACCACCTCAGACTTTGGAAGTAGCAGGAGCCCTGCCACTTGAGTAATTTAACAGTGTGGCAGAGGTTGAACAAAGCACTGAAGAACATAATGTAGCACCTTTGCTGGGTGAGCAAATGGAGCAGGTGACTTAGCACAGGAAGGTATCACCCATCCCACTGCACGCCATACTATAAACAGATTGCGCTCCTCCCACCACTTCCCACAGCAAAAACCAAGCCTCCATGCACGAATGTGACTGATTTCAGAGAACAAAGTCACTCCTCAAACCTCTTTAAGAATGGACGACATGTAGCTATCATGGGGTGGAATCAGAATCTGGGACGTGTCTCAAATGCAACCCACCCAGCTGTTCCTTAAGCACCACAACCAGAAAGAGGCAGAGGTCACAGCAGGCTATAAAGACAAAGTGTTCCTGGACCAATGTCTCTTTCTACATGTTCCAGTTTGAGCCTAGACACTTAGCAGCCAGACAAATAATCAAGAGGAACCCTTGATGGAAGGACCAGGACCCCGGATCTGCAGAGAAATTACTCCATGGGATTCGTTTCAGGGGGATGAGCCCAAAGATATGTGACAGAAAGAGAACCGATCTTCCCTTCTCAAGTGAGAGGGTTTGCCGGATATGTTATGGGACCACACGACCAAGACAGATGGACCATTACCTGCCATATCCCAGCATTGGAGAAGCGGCGCTAGCATGGGATGGAGCAAATATTTCCCTGCCAGCTGAGGGCATTCTCTGGCCATAGTGAGAAGGGAAGTGGTGGCAACTCTCTGGAACTGGTGTGCCATCAGCTTATCCTGAATATGCAATAAGTCTAGAATCTGGAATGGAAATTTCACATACAACACAGGTCAGGAAACAGAGAGAGCATCCAGACTATGGGCTAAGCACACAAGCCCCTGCTCATGAGCACTGCAGACATGCTCTGGTGAGAACGGGGAAAGAGCATACCTGTGGGCACACCTGCCGGTAGTAATCCTCCAGGGACAGAGATTGCTGAGGACAGGAAGCCAAGATCCTAGCTACCATGTCACACTTTCTCCAGTCTGCAGCTGCTGCTTCAGCGCCACTGCCACCAGCTACCCCGACTGAAGGCAAAGGAGAGTGGGACACAGACCCCATTAGACTCTGGCATTCCAAACAACAGTTCAGTTTTTTCTGAAGCCACACGTTTAAGGCTAAAAGTTGGATTTTTGTTTTTAACGATCTCCTCAGCCCAGGTGTCTTTCAGATGACTGCCCTGCTGCTTTGGAGGAAGGGAACAAAGTGTTATCAAAGGCCTTGGACTCCAGCAGTCAACTCCAACTCACAAGCATAACAACCAAGCACTGAAGGCAGGTGGTGATCTCAAGACCCTCTCAGAGAGCCACAGCACAAGACTGACCACCCTGGCCGGGGCTCTGGGAGTGCAGGCTATGGAACACACGTCCCAGAGGTCAGGTCAAGAGGTTAGTCTTGGAGAGAAACCCCTTCCTGAGCTAATTGGCCAGAGGGGGGCAGTGGTAAGCCTTGACATCCCAAACCCTATTGGGTGTGGAATCGATCTCACTCCTCTCCCAGATGATCATCATTTACTAACACAGAGCACTGTTCCCGTGCACCAATGCCCTTTACAGAAATAGGAGCTAATAAAAAGATCAACAATACAGATCTTTAAAAACAAACTTATTCTTCACAAGAGTGAGGAACTGGCATTTCATATGCACAGGTGTTTTTGCCCTAGGTTTTGTCATTTTATTTATATTTTCTCAATAACTGTAGAGTTTTCCAGGCACAGAACCCAGAAATGTAACAACACACCCTGACAAAAGGTGTCTTGAAGTTCAGGAGCTCAGTAGTCCCTTTTTAAGATCAGAAGCAAGCATAACCCGTGTGTGTAAGTATTTATAGTCTAATTAAAGAGGAAATCTCTTGTGAGGGTCCCCATAATGCTATTCCAGCTTATTATTTCATGGGATGGAAAGATCTCTGACCCACCCTGGGAAGTCTCATTTCATTCATAATCTGTAAAACAGAAATGACAGTGTCTGAGCAACATACTTACTTCCTGCTCCCTCCATGATGCCCCGGACCACAGCCTGAACCCCACTGGGTTTCATCAGCCTCTCCGAGAGCAGCTGTCCACAGAGACGCCGAAGCCAAACTGGAGCTTGGGCAAGGGGCTGCTTCACCTTTTGTCCAGGGGACTGCAAGCACTGAAAGGATATGGAGAGGGGGATAGGAAATGTATTTTCTTTAGAGAATGGTGCAAGCTCTCTCAGATGTGCAAGACGACATGCTCTCTGCCATGAAGGGCTTTGATATATGTCATGGCAGGAACACAGCACAGAGGGGAATTTTCTACAAATCACTTCACCACCCAATGGCACCAAGATAATTAGGGTTTAATTAGGTGGGCTGAGCATCCCAGGAGCCTCTCCTCCATGCAGATATTTCTTTCCCTAAATTACATTCTCCTGGGGTTATGCATCAGCTTTGACTGTCTCACTACCAGTGAGACACACAGGGGGTTCTCAGTAGGAATCAGGGCTCACTGTGCTCAAGAGGAGAACAAGTCCAACTCCAGTGACTGCAGGGCACAGTGATGGAGCACTGTGGTGAGAAGACAGAGAATACAAATCTATAGGTTACGTGGTCAAGAAAGGAAACAACCCGAGTGTGCATCAGTATTAGGACAGGGGCTGTTCCAGTACAAACACCAGTGCCATCTAGAGTTTGCAAACCTAGAAATCATGAAGTCTGCATGGACAGCATTCGCTGTCACCTGTCACACCAACCGTGGAAAAGGTGGGTGCATGTTTGCTTTACTGAGGAAGTAGCTCAGGGGATTCTCTCACCTTTTTTCTTTACAAGGCAGCCCTCACTTCCAGGTTAAACAGCTACATTAAACAAAAAGGGTGTTTATGGAGGAAGAAAGATCAAATAAGAACGAATCAGTGCAGATTCAAAGCTACTGGCAACCCAGGTCAAAACTGATCAGAAGTGTCCAGCTGCTTTATTTAATGAGATCTGACACCCCGAATCCTTCAACGGACTGTTCTTTCATGTTGCTTTAACCTAACACTCCAGAGGGAGAGGAGCAACCTCCATCCTAGACAGCAGCTTTCTTTAAAGAGCAGCTGCCCTCCCTTTAAGCCTCCAGTGCTAAGTGAAAACAGTTGCAGCTCAAAATTATCAACTTTGATTGACACCTGCCAGTCCAAACAGATGGATCAGCATAACGCTACACCGTTGGAGCACAAGAATACTGCTGACACTATTCAGATAAGCAATTAGAAAAGGTATTTAAAAGACTATGTATTGAGGATCCATACAAGATTCTTGAAAGGAAAATCTAATATTCTCCTTGCCAGTAAATCTAGCAGTATAAGCCAAGCGTTTCTGAACACACAATTCCAATTTAGGGGCAGTACTGCACTGTGCATTAGGGTTTTAAAACCAAGGCTCAGATTTCTCATTTCACCAGAAGTGGTACACTGAATTCCTGACAGCAACATAGTTCTCAGTGTGCTGAATTCCCCTGGTTCTCCCAGTTTACAGCCCCACAGAGCACCCTGAAACATGGCCTAGTTTAAATTGCTACATGGGAGGAAAGATGTGCATCTAGCTGCAATTCCTCTGTTCATTTAAAGCCAAGTAACAGTCTTTTCCCAGCAGTCCTGTACAGATTGAAATCAGGAATTGTCAGTTTCACAGGTCAATCCCACATTCCCCATAGCCCTGGAAAGTGTGGCCATAATGGATATTTACTCAAGGTAGCGCCTCATAGCCTGAAGATAAATCGATGCCTGTTTTGCCAGAGTGACATAGGAAAGTTACAGGACAAGACACTTCACCAGAAGGACAGCCATGTTGGAAGCTTGACAGAATACAAACTGCTGAACTGATGCTGTACTGGCTTTGACGGAAGCCAACGATATGTACATACATTCCAGGGAGTTCTGGGCAAAGCACAGCTAACCCGATGAACAAAGCATTGCCAGGAATGTCGATTTACTATTCATAGAGCACCCAAAGCGTACAAGGTGTTTCTCAGAACAATTTCTTTGCAAAGAAGAAAGTGTGGAGCTGTAGTCAGCTTGTGGAATTGACAAGAGCTGTATTCTAGCTACACGGGTAAATGCACAAAAATTAACATTCCAAATTATGGCTCTCACAGCAACACTGCTTTATTGCAGGCATCACAAGTAGAATTTTTATTACTATTTTATGCCATAAATATTTATGTTCAATGTGACAGGGTCACTGTTGCTGTAGGAGCCACAATTTTACTGATTTTTGTGCATTTATATTCTAATCCATAATGTTTTATTAACATATGTTTGCATTATTCATTACTAGTAAGATAGCCAAGTTTCTAGGACAAATAGCCCAGCCAATCTCAGAGTGGAGGAAGTAGTCATCAATGTGTATTTAGCACAAATTCAGCTGGTTTGTCAGGAAGCATACAAACCAGCCACAACGAGCCAGATTCATCCCTGCTGATACATTATATTTGGTGAAGCAACATAGCAAGGATGGATCCAGAGCATCATCTTCTCTAGGGAAGAAGCTTCTGCGCTTCTATTATCTTTTCAAGAAAATAGATTCACTCCTAGTATGTAGCTTGAATAAAAATAAAACAAAGCTTCCAAATGCAAGTCTCTGCTGCATATTCCAAGCCCCACATCTTCATCCCACTGGTTGGACAGGTAGCTAGGAAATTGCAGTTTAATGCTTTAGCACAGGGGAGGGCAAACTATGGACTGGGGGCCACATCCAGCCCTTCAGACCTTTTAATCCAGCCCTCGAGCTCCTGCCAGGGAGCGGGGTCGGGGGCTTGCCCAACTCCGCACGTTCCGTGGGTCCCAGAAGCAGCGGCATGTCCCGCATCCAGCTCCTATGCGTAGGGGCAGCCAGGGGCCTCCGCTCGCTGCCCCCGCCCCAAGTGCTGGCTCTGCAGCTCCCATTGGCCAGGAGCCATGGCCAATGGGAGCTGCAGGGACGGCGCCTGCGGACAGGGCAGTGCGCAGAGTAACCTGGCCATGCCTCCGCATAGGAGCCAGAGGGGGGACATGCCGCTACTTCCAGGAGCTGCTTGAGATAAGCGCCACCCAGAGTCTGCACCCCTGACCTCCTCCCGTGACCCATCCCCCTGCTCCAGCCCTGATCTCTCTCCTCCCTCCAAACCCCTCGGTCCCAGCCTGGACCACCCTCCTGCACCCCAAACCCCTCACCTCCAACCCCACCCCAGAGACCACACCCCCAGCTGGAGCCCTCACCCCCCCCCCTGCACACCAACCCCCAGCCTCCTCCCGCACCCTGAACTCCTCGTTTCTGGCCCCACTCCAGAGCCCACACCTCCAGCCAGAGTCCTCATCCCCACCCCCCGCACCTCAACCCCCAGTTTCATGAGCATTCATGGCCCGCCATACAATTTCCATATCCAGATGTGGCCCTCAGGCCAAAAAGTTTGCCCACCCCTGCCCTAGCATATCATATTCCAGTTCCTGTACCACTGGAAGGTGCAGGCACTGGAGACAGCCTCATGAATCAGATTCCCTTCCCTCACCTCCTGACCAGCTACAGAACCAGTTGGCATCCTTGGTACCTGTTTGGATCCACCCTGAAGAACAAGCAGTTCCTGGACCACTAGCGGTTGGTAGACTCGATCCAAGACACTCTTCAAGGCCTCCCTACTGCGGGTTCTCTGCTCTTCTGTAAGGCCCTGAAAAACAACAGGTCTCTGTGCTGGAATATGAATACAGCACAGACAAACAGTAAAGCAGCACAGGGCACGTATTTTGCTAGGTCCTGGCTCCCTCTACTGGACCATTAGCAACGGTCCAGTAGAGGGACATCGACTGAGAAACATCCAGGTGGGTATCTAGAGACCACTCTAAATTCTGTCTGACACAGGGTGTTTTTTAGTTAAGGCAAATATAAACAAAACCTGTTCAGGAACAACTGTTACAGGGGAACTGCCACACACACTCAAGGAACAAATGCAAAAAACAACCCTGCAAGAGTAAAAAGAATGCAGGCAAAAGTCCAGCAGCAGAGTGGGGTCCATCCTGTTTATTGCACTGAATGCAGCGATTACTTGCCTTGTGGGCAGGTGGTGTAGGTGCATTCGGTGCAAGCAGCTCGTGGCTCTCAGAGACCGAATATGAGCTATTGAAATGAGAGTTTCCGAACTGGAGGAGCTAAGAGAGACAGCGAGACACACAGATGAGACTTTGCAGGACACAGGCCTGGTCTACACTACAGTTAGGTTGACATAAGACAGTTTTCCTTGGCCTAACTCTGTAACTGTCTACACTAGAATGGTGCACCCACCAATGGAAGTCGTCCACTACACTGACCTAATAACTCCACCTCTGCGAGAGGCGTAGCACTCAGGTTGATGTAGTAGGGCGACACAGTGTCTGTGTAGTAATTGCGTTACTTACATTACCCGTTGGCTGTTGGCCCAGTACGGGACTCACAGCTGGATGCCTGACAGCACAGAGCCGCGTTGTCGGGCAGCTGACAACCGGGAGCCCTGCTGCCACCTCCCAGTGAGGGATTGTCAGGGGAGGAGAGCCCGGGCTTGGGCTCTCCTCTCCCTCGCGTCCCTTACTGGGAGGTGGCAGAGGGGCTCCGGGTTGTCAATACCTCTTCTCGGCTGTCAGCCCTGGCAGCAGAGCTTACAGTGGGATCCTCCCCATCCCCACCTCAGGGCTGAGAGTCTAAGCTGTGACACCAGCACTGGGCTCATTTACATAGCAAGGAGCCTACCAGCAGTGAAATTGACATTCTTGTCTGTTTCAGGGCTGCTATTATTTCACATTTCCTCTCTGGCTCTGGCTGTCAGCCCCAGGACAGGAGTCCAGCTGTAAGCCCCACATTGGACCGGCTGACAGCCAGAGAGGAACAGTGAAATAATAGCAGCCATGAAACTGACAAGCATGTCAACTGTGAAATTGAGCCCTGTGCCTGGCTCACAGCTGGGGCTGTCGGCCCTGAGGCAGGAGGAGGGCTCCAGCTGTGAACCCTGTGTGGCTATCAGTGCCCCACGCTCCGGCTGTCAGTGCCCCACAATGCCCCACTTCAGTTGGTACAAGCGCTACTGGTGAGGATGCGCAGCACCGGCAGAAGGAGGGTAGTAATGGACACAAACAGCCGATTTAATTACTGTATTGGCTGCAGGTCGACCTAACTTAAGTTGACCTAATTTTGTAGTGTAGACAAGCCCAAAGTAGAGCAGTTCCACCCCCACTATGACAGTCTCTGTGCTGCTGAGGAGGAGGAAAGTCTCAGGGAAGCGAACATCAAGCTGGAGCGGAGTGAAACAATCCCAAAGTTGGGATCCTCCTTCCAGATGATGTCATAGTATTCTTTCACACTGAGGATACCTTTCTGGGGTAGAGGGCCCCTGTTATTAGGAAGAGACAGGTAATAGTAACGGGGGATTTGATTATTAGAAATATAAATTGTGGGGTTTTGATGACCAGGAGAACCATATGGTGAATTGCCTGCCGGGTGCAAAGGTTGTCAACCTCTCAAGACATTTAGACAGCCTTATGCATAGGGTTGGAGAGGAGCTGGTGGTCATGGTACGTGTAGGTAACACTGACATATGGAAAGGTAGGAGAAGGATCCTGGAGACCAAATTTAGTCTGCTATGTAAGAGATTAAAGTCCAGGACTTCCATGGTAGCATTCTCTGAAATGTTTCCAGTGCCACATGCAGGGCCAGTTAGACAGGCAGAACTACAGGGTCTCAATGAGTGGATGAGACAATGGCATTGGGAGGGGTATTTAGGTTTATTAGGAACTGGGGAATCTTTTGGGAAAGAAGCAGCCTATACAGGAAGGATGGGCTCTGCCTAAACCAAAATGGAACCAGATTGCTGTTATGTAAAATTATAAAGGTCACAGAGGAGTTTTTAAACTAAGGAGTAGGGGAAACTGATAGGTGCAGAGGAGCACATGGTTCATACATCCCATATGGGAGGATTTATTAAAGGGAATATTCTGTATCCTTGTAACGAGGAGAGGATAGAAGTTGACAAAGTACAGGTAGGAACTGAAGAGAAACAGACAACAAAAAAGAGTCCCCATTCAATTACATCACACGAAGGCAGACTAATTTTATAAATGCTTGGATACAAATGCAAGAAGTCTAAATAGTAAGATGGGTGAACTTGACTGTCTGGTATTAAATGAGGATACTGATATAATAGGAATCATAGAAACTTGGTAGAATGATGATCAATGGGACCCGGTAATATCAGGGTACAAAATATATAGGAGTGGGTCACACTGGTGGGGGAGTGGCACTGTATGTGAAAGAAAGCATAGAGTCAAATACAGTAAAAGTCTTAAATGAATTAAAACAGTACCATAGAATCTCTATGGATAGAAATTCCAAGCTTGAATAATAAGAGTATAGCAATAGGAATATACTGCCAACCACCTGACCAGGATGGTGACAATGATTGTGAAATGCTCAGGGAGATTAGAGAGGCTACGAAAACAGAAGACCCAATAATAATGGGGGATTTCAACTATCCACATATTGACAAGGAACATGTCACCTCAGAAATACAATGTCTAGACACCAGTAATGGCTGCTTCTTGGAGCAGCTAGTCCTGGATCACACAGGGAGAGAGGCAATTCTTGATTTAGTCCGAAGTGGGGGACAGGATCTGATTCAAGAAATGAATATAGCTGAACCGCTTGGTAATAGTGACCATAATGTAATTAAATTTAACACTCTTGTAGGGGGGAAAATACCAAAGAAACCCACCACAGTAGCATTTAGCTTCAAAAAAGAGACCTACACAAAAATGAGGCGGCTAGTTAAATGGAAATTAAAATGAACAGTCTCAAGAGTGAAATGTCTGTAAGCTGCATAAAAACTTCATAAAAACACAGTAATAGAGACCCAAACTAAATGTATACCCCAAAATGAAAAAAAAACAGTAAGAGGACCCAAAAAAATGCCAGCATGGCTAAACAACAGAGTAAAAGAAGTGGTTAGAGACAAAGACATCCTTTAGAAATTTGAAATCAAATCCTGCTGAGGACAATAGAAAGAAACAAACTCTGGCAAGTCTAGGCAGGCCAAAAAAGAATTTAAAGAACTACTAACCAAAGACACAAAAGCTAACAACAAACTTTTTTAATTACATCAGAAGCAGGAAGCCTGGCAAACAATCAGTGGGGCCATTGAGCGAGCAAGGCACTGAAGGAGCACTCAAGGAAGACAAGGCTGTTGCTGAGAAACTATGAATTCTTTGTGTGGGTCTTCACTGCAGAGGATGTGAGGGAGATTCCCACACCTGAGTCATTCTTTTTAGGTGACAAATCTGAGGAACTGTCCCAGATTGCGGTGTCAGTAGGGATGTTTTTGGAACAAATTGATAAATTAAACAGTAATAAGTCACAAGGACCAGATGGGATTCACCCAAGAGTTCTGAAGGAATTCAAATATGAAATTGCAGAACCACTAAGTGTGGTGAGTAACATTTCGCTTAAAACAGCCTCTGTACCAGATGATAGGCAAATAGCTAATGTAATGCCTATTTTTTAAAAAGGCTCCAGAGGAGATCCTGACAATTACAGGCCAGTAAGCTTCACTTCAGTACTGGGCAAACTGGTTGAAATTGAGGACATGGCTACATTTGCAGATGTAGAGCACTTTGAGTCAAACCAGCCTAGGGAAAGCGCTGCAATCTGTCCACATTGACAGCTACAAGCGCACTGGCGTGGACACATTAGTAGCTCTTGCAACGGCCACAGAGAGCAGTGCATTGTGGTAGCTATCTCAGCATGCAAGTGGCTGCAACATGCTTTTCAAATGGGGAGGGTGGGGTGGAGTGTGACAGGGAGTGTGTTGTGTGTATGTGGGGGGAGAGAGAGTGAGTTTTTGGTGGGGCTGAGGGCATGTCAGCATGCTGTCTTGTAAGTTCAGACAGCAGCAGACACCCCTTAAGCAAAAGAGGCAGTCACGGAATAAGAAGGAAAGTCCTTTCACAGTTCAGTAAATGGTTAAAAGCTACAGAAAAAAGGGTAGGAATAAATGGTCAGTTTTCCTGGTGTAGAAGAGTAAATAATGGGGTCCCCCAAGGATCTGTACTGGAACCAGTGCTGTTCAACATATTTACAAACAATTTGGTAAAAGGGGGTAAACAGCAAGGTGGCAAAGTTTGCACACGATACAAAAGTAGCAAGATAGTCAAGTCCAAACCAGATTGTGAACAGCTACAAAAGAGTCTCACAAAACTGAGTGACTGGGCAACAAAATGGCAGATGAAATTCAATTTTGATAAATGCAAAGTAATGCACACTGGAAAACTTAATCCCAACTATACATACACATTGATGGGGTCTAAATTAGCTGTTACCACTCAAGAAAGATTTTGGAGTCTTTGTCGATAGTTCTCTGAAAACATTCTGCTCAATGTGCAGCAGCAGTCAAAAAAGCAAACAGAATGGTAGGAAACATTAGGAAAGAGATAAATAAGACAGAAAATATCATATTGCCACTCTATAAATCCATGGTACACCCACACCTTCAATACTGCACACAGTTCAGTTGCCCCATCTAAAAACAGATATATTAGAATTGGAAAAAGTACAGAGAAGGGCAACAAAAATTATTAGGAGTACAGAACAGCTTCCATGTGAGAAGAGATTAAAAAGACTGTTCAGTTTAGAAAAGAGACAGCTAAGGTGGGGATAAGATGGAGATCTGTACAATCATGAATGCTGTGGAGAAAGTGAATCAGGAAGTGTTATTTACCCTTTCACATAAAAAAAGAACCAGGGGTCACCCAATAAAATTAATAGGCAATAATTTTAAAACAAACAAAAGTAAGCACTTCTTCACACAACACACAGTCAACCTGTGGAACTTGTTGCCAGGGGATGTTGTGCAGGCCAAAAGAATAACTAGGTTCAAAAAAGAATTAAATAAAGTTCATGAAGGACAGGTCCATCAATGTCTACTAGCCAAGATGGTCAGGGATGCAGCCCCATGTCATAGGTGTCCCTAAGTCTTTGACTGCCAGGTGCTGGGACTGGACAACAGTGGATGGATCACTCTATAAACTGCCCTGTTCTGTACACTGCCTCTGAAGCCCCTGCCACTGGCCACTGTCAGAAGACAGGATACTGAGCTCGATGGACCATTGGTCCATCCCAGTGTGGCCGTTCTTATGTTCTTATGACAAGATCAGATTTGTGGTTCAGCTAGCCCAGTACCCTGTCTCGGACAGTTGCTGGTACCAGCTGCTTCAAAGGAAGGTGCAAGACACCACACAGACGGCAGAAATGGGATAATCTTCTCCCCAAGGAAGGTCTCATCTTGCTCCCTAATAGTGAGAGATTGGCTGAAGTCCTGAAGCACAAGGTTTTATGTCTCTTCCAGTTAGCTGTCTTTGCCCCAGAAAAATGGAAGCTATAGGATGGGGTCTATACACAAAATTAAGGCAGGAAATTCTCATCAGAATACACACCTTTAGTTGCTCCAATGGCCTGGCTTGCTCACCCTTTCCTTTGGTCGGGCAGAATCCTAGCTGGCACAGACCTGCTATGAGGTCCCCAAGGTGGCGGGTAAGGATGAGGTTGCCTAAAGATGGGTGCTGTGCAATCTGCAGCAGTGCAGTACAGCTGCCATACAGCCTATGCATTGCACTGGGGGAAGTGTTGGGAGATACCACATCTTGAACAACAGCACTGAACTCTGTCCTGTGCTTCAGCGGGATTCCAACCCCAGGCAAGAGATATGGACAAAGGCCTAAGGTAATCACAAACTGCAATGCAGACTGAACAGTCTTCTGCTGGGAGATACTGAGCGTGTCAGGGCTGAGAGCTGGAGCAGCTTCAGCGGTCCTAGGGTTTGGTTTGGCTGGATGGTAAGCAGCAGCTAAGATGATCATGCGCTTTTTCAGACTCAGCAGTAACAGCAGGACTTGACAAGTAAAACTCCAGGTCACATCTGTAGAGCTTTCTAGCCAAACAGCCTGCTCTCTGACTTCAGCTCTCAAGCTCCGCAGTTCATTCCACTGGGGATCCTGACCAAGCTTTTCCTCTAAAGCAGCCAAGTTGGAGTTTAAGGTTTCGACCAGATCTGCATGTTTTGCCGCCTGGAGAGAACCTGAATCTGTTCCTAAAAGGAAAAACAAATAGGTCACGTACAATACAAGGATTGCGAGAGCGGTGCACCTGCCCTCCACTAAGCCGTATACTGTCCCTCCATAGCTGTTATTATTAGTTTTCTGCTGCGGCAGGCAATGGGGGGCGGGGAGGGGCTGCTGCGGGCAATGGGGGGGCAGGGGGCCCCACACAATCAATGGGGGCGGGGAGGGGCTGCTGCGGGCAATGGGGGAGGCGGGGGGGCCCACACAAGCAATGGGGGCGGGGAGGGGCTGCTGCGGGCAATGGGGGAGGCGGGGGGCTGCTGCGGGCAATGGGGGGAGGCGGGGGGGGCTGCTGAGGGCAATGGGGGGAGGCAGGGGGCCCCACACAGGCAATGGGGGGCAGGGAGGGGCTGCTGCGGGCAATGGGGGAGGCGGGGGGCCCCACACAGGCAATGGGGGGCGGGGAGGGGCTGCTGCGGGCAATGGGGGAGGCGGGGTGCCCCACACAGGCAATGGGGGGCGGGGAGGGGCTGCTGCGGGCAATGGGGGGGAGGCGGGGGGCCCCACACAGGCAATGGGGGGCGGGGAGGGGCTGCTGAGGGCAATGGAGGGGGTGGGGGGCCCCACACAGGCAATGGGGGGGCGGGGGGCTGCGGAGGGCAATGGGGGAGGCGGGGGGCCCACACAGGCAACGGGGGGGCTGCGGAGGGCAATGGGGGAGGCGGGGGGCCCCACACAGGCAACGGGGGGCGGGGAGGGGCTGCGGAGGGCAATGGGGGAGGCGGGGGGCCCCAAACAGGCAACGGGGGGGGGGCTGCTGAGGGCAATGGGGGAGGCGGGGGGACTCCTGCGGGGGCGGGGCGGGAGAGACACCCAGGGCGTGTGGTGGGGACCCCAACACGTGAGCCCCACAGTCCCCGCCCCTCTCACCGGTGCCTCCTCCGGGCCTCCCCATCAGCAGCACCAGCGCCTCCACCACCCGCTCCAGCTTCAAACTCCCGGCCATAGCGCCCGCGCCCACTGCGCCTGCGCACAATAGCGCACCGAGACGCCATCTTGGGAGGGTCAGACTCGTACCGCCCCCTAGGGGGAGGAGCGGACTGGCCCTACCGCCATCTTGGGAGGGTCAGACTAGTGCCGCCGCGGCCTGGCCCTGCCGCCATCTTGGGAGGGTCAGACTAACGCAGCCCTGTTCGAATCCGCCACAGGAGGACTTGGGGCACCTTAGCGACTAACACATTTATTTGAGCATAAGCTTCCGTGAGCTGTCTTCCCGCCATCTTGGGAGGGTCAGACCGTGGGCAGTTAGTCAGCTTGTAGCATGGCTCAGGGCTCGGCCCTTCCCGCCGGGCTCCCGGGGGTCGTTCCTCTGGCTCCTCTGCAGCCGCGCTGCTACGGGCCCCGTGTCCCCCATGCAGCCAGGCTTTGCACCAGGGCCCCCCGGTACAGGGTGCGTGGACAGGGCCTCGCCGCCCTGCAGGCCCCCGCTGGGCCCTAGCAGACGGGGCAGCCCCAGGCCCCGGGCTAGGGGGGGTCCCCTCAGCCACGAGACGCCCAGTTCAGGGACGCAACAGACCAGTTCCATCTAACCCCCTGTCGCTGCGCCAGTCCCCCGAGCGAGGCCATCCAGGTGCTGCTGGCAGCCCTGGGGAGCGTAGACAGACCCTGGTTTCCCAGCAGCCCAAGTCAGTTCTGTCCCAACAACTCAGGTTTCACTCCTTGCTTACCAGACCCCCTGCACTGACCAGCCTCCAGCCCTCCACCCAGCAGCTGACAGAGGAAAGCTAGCCTCTTGCCTCCATTTCCTACCCCGGATCAACAAATGGAGGATTGACCCACCCACTTGCTACTTTGCTGGACTCCTGCCTCTTCTAGCTCTGCTCAGCCATATGTGCCCCATATGGCCCTTTGGAGAGCGAATAGGTGGATAGTTACACGTGCACACCTCAGGGCTGGCCGCACAGGGCACCAGTGTCCTTCGGTAGTGTGTACAGTACAAGGAACCTGAGGCTGGAGCCCAGTTCTCCAGTTCAGCCTTGTGTCCAGTGCACCAGATATCATCATGTCCCACGCGCCCAGGGTCTGTCAGGAAGAAGCTGAGAGCAGGGTAAAACTGCATTCACTCTCAGCAACCATTCAGTTCTCCTTACGATTTCTGCTGCTGAATAGCCAGCATTGATGGTGTGGTTCACTATCATTCGATGGTTATGTCTACACTAGAATCTTTATTTGGTGTAGCCATGTCACAGAGGGGGGTGAATTTTCACAACATCTCTACACCAGCAAAAGTCCTTGGGTAGATGCAGCTATACCAGCATAACTTATTTCACTTGGAGAACTGGCATGAGTTATACCAGCAAAACAATTCTTGCCAGTGGAAGCTGCCTCTATACTGGGGTGGGGTGGGGTGAGGGGGTTGCTGGTGTACTTGTATAGTTGGACCAGCAAAACTTTCGTGGAGTAGGCTGGGGCTGTCCTATACCATTGCAGGGAAATGAGCTGTTTTGAGTTAGCCCCAAAACTCAATCAGTCTAGTTCTGACCTTTATTGTGCCTTGTTTGTATAAAATGGATCCCAGCCTGACCCCTCCATTGGTGTATGAAGCAATAGCAGGTGCTCTTCCAGCTGTTTGAATGAGAATGGTTAGCTAGTTCCTGCTCTGCCAGCAGCACTCCAGGTTTGTCCCACGGCGTGCGGCCGTTCCGAAAGCCATTTTCATACAGAATAGCCAGAGGCTGAGGAAAGCATTTGTCTTTTGTTCTTTTCCAAAGGAGCCAGCCGAGGTTGATCAGAGACACCACAGCATTGCTCCTTGGGGGACAGGCTTGGACTTCAGCTTTGGAGTTCTAGAGCAGCGGTTCTCAAACAGTGGTCTGCGAGCTCCATTCAGGTGGTCCGTGGATCGTTCCCTCTCAGGTGCGTGCCTGGGCAGCCGCACACGAGAGAATGAAGGGCCACCCACCTAACCAGGGGAACCGCGCCAGCGTGACTCCACTAATTAGGTGCCTGGACCCTGGAGAAGATCCACATGTAAGGTGAGGTGGTGGCCTTGGGGGGAATAAGGGGTAGGTGGGAGGGGGCAGTGGGGTGAGAAGAGGGGGTGGGGGGAATTTGGGATGTGCAAGGCTGGGCAGCCAGAGAAAGAGGTGACTTTCCCCAGCTCCAGCGCTGTGGCTGCTGGGGAGAGATGGCCCTCCTCCCCAGCCCCAGCTCCGTGGCGGGGGAGAGACCCCCCCGTCCTTCCCAGCCCCAGCTCGGAGGCTGCTGCAGTGGGGGAGAGAGGCCACATCCATCGCATTAGAAAGGTAAGACTACGGATATTAAAATATGAGTTGTGTGCTTTTATTTGTAGAACCAAAAAACTTGAATTATTATTAAGTTTTCTTATATAGCACTTTTATCCAAAGCGCTTTACAATAGTTACCTATGGTACAAACAACATTTGGAAAGATCATTAAGTGGGCTGCCGAGACCCTCAGCAATTTTCAAGTGGTTCGCGGAAAAAAAAAGTTTGAGAACCAGTGTTCTACAGAGTATTCACAATGAGCTACGGGCAGCAAAACCGGTTCGGAGACTTTTAGCCTTGACATTAAAAGAGAAAAGTATTTTTTTAAAACAAATGTATTAAAATGTTATAAAAATGTACTCAGATTAAAACGAAGCTATTGCTGTTCTCTGAGCTTCCTTTGTGTCCCACCATTCCCCGTCACAGAAAGGTACAAAGTATTAAGGCAGCCAAATACACAGTTTAGAAACCAAATAAAGCCATTTCCTTTTTCTAAAAGCTCCATTGCACAGTAATTACACTGCACACACTAGAGATTAGACAACACAATGAAGGAAGTAGCCACAATCTGACATTATGGAAAAATATAAATTGGCCTATAGCTATTAAATCAAATAAGACGTTCTGCTAAATACTACGTGAAAAGAACATGGCATGGTATTGGCTGGTAATTTTATAGATCCTCTCTCCCCTATTCAGAAATATGAATGAACAACTTTATACAAAAATATAGCATCAAACTGGGCTGACAGTCAGGTTTTAGATGTTGCATTTATTTATACAGAGCCCCAAGTGTACTAGGCATGAATATCACGTGACACACTTCTTCAGAGTCACACCTTCAGTCAGCAGAGGACAGACTACAGCCCTTAGCCGCACAGGCGAGAGGAGGGACTCAGGAGCGCTTTACTTAAGAGTTGGTTTATAATCCAGGTTTTTGGAGGGGTAAGGAGTGCATGGCAAAGTGTAGGGGTGGGGAAGAACACTGAACTCTAGGGCAATGGAAAGTCACTACTGCAGCACACAGAGACAAATTATCATCAGGTTCCAAGCATATGAACGCTTGGACAGGGACAAGCTGGGTTCATTAAAACCAGCACACAAAGGTGAGTCTGGGGTTCTCCAGGAAAGGGTGTGAATCTACTGTCCGTTCCCTGAGGATTTCCTGGGGGCTCTCCCCCATATCTCCTGTGCCTGTGATTGCTTAGTAAACGGGTTACCATCATCTTTGGTCTTTGGGTTGGCACAGCGCTAAACGTATCAAAGTGCAGCTCTTGGTTAAGGGTAACAATAATATTAAAAATAAGGGGCATCTGAAAATTCAATAAAAATATCTCTGGCAAAGTCCCTCGCAATCTGGCTGTGTTCCAGACTGGCCCAGCGGTAGCTGGTCTCCACAGTTACTGAGAAAGAGGCTACTTCACGCTTGCTCTTCAGCATCTCCTTTGGAGAACACGCCTACTCCATGGGCACACTCAGCACCGAACCACACAATGGGTGGCATTAAAAAGTGAACAAATCCCATCTGCTGGTGGAGGGGAGTTTCCCGCTAGGCTTCCTGAATTTGGAATGAGGTATTCTGAGAGCACTGGGGAAATGGTTACCTTTTAATGATACCGCTGGAGGAGAGGAGCCCCAGAAGTTAGCAGGCCCCTGTCCTGGGAGGCCTGCAGCATGGCAGGTGAAGACATTGCTACACAGCACCAGACTGGTGTGAGTGCGTTCTCCGGGCACCCCTTGCCCAGTGTGCTGCAAAGAGGCAAGACTAGGCCATTTAGCAGGTGGCTGTGAGTACTCACCAACGTGGGCACAGGGAAGTGGAAGTGGCTGTGGCTGGCCATCTGGGGGAAGTAACAGCAGCCAGGAGCTCCCCAGCCGCACGAGAGGAAACAAAACTGTGGTAACTAAAGGGTGGGGCACGTCTGCCCTCTCCTAGAACCAGTCAGTCTGTGGAGGCTGTAGATCCCAGCGTGCGTTGCTCTGCCTTGAGCACGCCGAGACCTGCAGCCCCTACAGTGAAGCCGTCAAAGTGCAGCGTGTTCTGGGCAGAAGCCTCACACTCTGGGCAGGCTGCCACCAAGGCCCTTAGTTGACCGACACAGAATCCCCCCACCCCCATTAACCTGGAAAGCCCTGGCTATCCACGGCTGAACAACAGGGGCTGAAGAAACTGAGCCAGGTTCTGCGAGGAGGACAGATTCACGTAGTGCTGTTGTCTGCTAAGGAAAGGGAATTTCAGCCATCCAGCCTGCTCGGGAAGACCTTGCTGGTGTGTGTCGAACGGGCCGCAGCGACATTTCTCTCACAGCTGCGGCCCGCACACACTGGTGGCACCTACTCCTCGTCCTCGCCCCCGCCGTACATGTCGGCCAGCTTCCTGAAGCGGCCGCCCCAGTCCTTCAGGTAGTCGTAGTCCTGGTCCTGGTCCGAGGCGGAGGAGTTGAGGGAGCTGAGCGAGGCTGCCTCGGAGCCGCTGCCCTCGTAGTCAAACACCAGCAGGGAGTCGTATGGCGGGGCAGTGGGGTCAGTGTCGGCCGCCTTCAGGTTCTGGGGGTGGGGAGGAGCGTTAAATCATGACCTAGAGCAACAGCTTCGCCCTGCCCAGAGGTGCCGCTCGGGGAATGCCCTCAGGAGAATCTCAGGCAGACTTTAAATGGAGGAGCAGTACAGTTCTGCTGCCCCAGAATCAGCCCTTCCTGCACACTCTGTATCTGCATCGCAGTTAGCAGCCCATGCAACGGCACCCGGCACCCATGGGAGCTGGCATCTCGTGCTAGAGACTCGGCTTCTCTTTGGAAGAGACTTAAACCTCTAGCTCTCGTGACCACAAAGGAACCCTTCACAACATGATCTGACTGTGAAGAGGTGCGGGGGGATCCACCCGGAGCCCTGTCTGCACTGGGGCGATTCTTAGCAGTGCACACCCCAGTGTAGATGCGCTGCACGTGGGTGCGGCTTATCCCAGTTGAAAACAGGGCTATTTCACGGCTGACAGAAGCAGATGAGGAACAAGAGGGCCAACACTACCATGGATGATCTGGGCAGTCTTCTAGAATTGCACCTGGGCCCCACCGAGGGGTCGGGGGGCAATCCAGCAAGACAGTTAGCTCCCCCAAGGATGCTCAGCAGGAATGCCATCTCCCCTTCCCTTTGTCCCTGTGGGCTTGGCCCCCCAGGCACCCCAGTCCTGACCAGGTGTTTAGATGACTCTGGAGCACCTGTATCTGGCGCACTCTAATACTGCACACAGCTGCGAGGGGGTCCCAGAGCTGTCACCAAGAGAATTAAAATGCTGAGTTCCAAGCATTATAATGAATAATAATCGGACTCCTCTCTGCCTTCGCTACTTGGGGGCAGGTTGGGGGGGAAGAGAAGGGCTGTGCACCAGGCTCTGAAGGGGGCTAGTCCTGAACTTCAGGAAAGAGCTCCCTAGCCAGGGCCTGACACCTAGAATGCCCTAGCCCCAGTGAGTTTCACATTCTGGATCTTTGGCTTTAGTGTCCCCACTGGGCGCAGAGACGGAGCCTTAGGAATTATGGTGCAGGGTCTAAGGAAGGGCTTTCGCACAGCCCAGCCCACAGCAATTGATTCTGCTGCACAGCCCGAGCCAACGGGAAGCCTTGCTAACAGAGTCAGAGCTCTGAGTAACCCACTCCTCTGCCTGCCGGGCACTGACGAGCCCCACTCACCTCATCGATGAAGTTGCCGATCTCGTCAGGGTTGGTGGGGCGTGGCCGGTACTGCGGGGCTGGCATGAGAGTTGGGACGACATCGTTGCGGGTGACCTCAGGACGAGCATCCAGGCCGCGGTGCAGCTGGCTCAGGTCATAGTCCTATGGAGGAGGGAGAAGAGGTAGGATGTCAGGAAACGAGCAAGAGAAAGCCAGGCTGTTCTGCGAGATGCAGCCAAAGCAAGGTTGTAAAGCAGGCAGGGCCCAACAGCAGGAACTTCCCCCACCACTGTAGTGTCACCCCACAGCAGCGCCTCCCTCGGGGTGCATCCAGCTCTCAGCCCTGCACAGGGGCACTGCAGAGAGCGGCTCTGTACCAAGACCTGCCGGGAAGCGGTAGCTGAAGTGGGGGGAGAGGGGCCAGGGGGTAGGAGCGCTGAAGGCCGGAGTGGGTTTTCATGTCTCCTCCTCCTTTTCTGTAACTGGCTCATGTCAGTGCTAGAAGCACAAGCAATCCAACGTTACTGGCCACGAGAAGCCAAGGGCAGCGTTGTCAGGGCCACACTGGGGAACCGAGGCCCGAGAGGCAGCGCAGCTCCACAGGCCCCCCCCGTGCATTGGCCGCACGCACTCAACGTGCCGAGCGAGTCACACTCGGGCTGTCCGAACGGCCTGGCCCACAGTGGAGGGGCTGACATGGGGGGTGTCAGAGATCGGAGAGGGCAGCTGGCGACCAAGACGCAGCATAACTCCAGGCCCTGGGTGATGGCGACCGCCGCATTTGGGGAGCGACGTGGGATGCCCGCAGAGCCAATCAGCACAGCAAGCAGCTGGATCGAGAGGATCCTGGTTTCAGAGCTCGGCAATGCCACTGACCCACTGTGTGACCTCGCCAGGCCACACGAGCCTGGCTGTGAGACTGGGCAAGGCACAAAAAGAGCCCATCCTGCCTGCGTCCGGAGGAGGTCCCCGCGATGCTCTCGCGCTGGAGACTTTCAGCGCAGAGCCCCAAGCCGCACGCAGGGGAGCCGCTCTGCCCCGAGAGCAGGGCCTTCCTAGAGCAACGGCTTCCGAGCTCCACCCACCTGGTCTTCCTCCCCGCCGCCCTCCTCGTCGTAGTGATAGATGTTGTCTCGAGTGTCGTCCTCGGGGAGAAGCAAGGGCTCCTTCACCACCTTCCTCTTCCTCACGAAGAGCAGCAGCAGCAGCAGCAGGACTAGAAAGAGGGAGTGAAAGCATTGCCTTTATCTGGGCCAGCAACCTGCACTGCCAGGCCAGGCCGGAGAGCAGTGGGAGCAGTTCCTGGCTGGAGCAGTGCATCAGAGGGGAGCTCTCAGGCAACGGCGCACGCTGGGAAGTCATTTCAGCAGTGAGGGGAGTTGCCGTGAGTCTGAGGTTAAGGCCTTTTGCAACAGTAACTCGCTTGGCAGGCACGGGAGGCTCTTTGCTTCTCTCCGGGGTGAGGGGACTCCGCCCGCAGTACTCACTCAGCAAGGCAAGGATTCCTCCGAGAATCCCCAGGATGGTCGGGATCCCCAGACCGCCCGCGATGGCTGCTCTCCTCTCGCAGTTCCTGGCTTCCCCGTCACAGTCGCACACACTGGCTTTGACAGTCGTCACCTGGGATTTACTCTGGTTGTCCACCAGCTGCAGGAAGATGCTGTATTCTCCTGGCTCCAGGTATTTGGTTAGCTTTAAGGCCAGGCTGTTTCCTGGGGGAGAGCAGGATTTAGGGCTCGAGTCAGAAAGTGACGGGATCCTGGAGGTGGGTAGTCTCAGCACCGAGGCCTGGCCATGCCACATCAGCACTGCTGCAGGACCCCGGCACAGTGGGAGGCCAAAGCCGCCAGCCCCTCCAGCTCTATAGCTGGACACACTGCAGAGCAGCCTCCCCGCTGGGAGGGCCTGGCTGTCCGCAAAGCCCAGCTCCTGCAGGGAGGTTTACGGAGTTTGGGGTTCGTAGGGGTGGGGGGAAGCTCGCAACCCTTACAGCTGGCAGTGTGACTGGCATTGGGGGGGCGGAGCTGCCACTGGCTACAACCAGCAGGCCCAGCGGGAGTGGGGAAGCCTGAGCCCCCTTCACACGTTCGGGGTCCTTCCTAGGGGGGCTCTACCCTCAGGTACCCGCTTTGGGTTCAGGAGACCGGTCGGGTTGGCTGGCACCTGAAGAGTGGCCTGGCAGACACATGCCTGCTCCAGAGCTCTCACATTCTCGTTCTGAGGAGCGGCGGCTGGGCAGGTTAGTGAGAACGCACCAGGCCCCAGAGGGGGCTGGGGTCCCTGCCCCTCGCTCTGCTGGGGGGCGGGGAGCACAAGCAGTAACTGGAACGGCCTTGTGGCTCCGCAGGCTGTTTTGCAAGTCAAACAAAGCAACAAAGAACCAGCGGATGGGCCCAGTTCTACCCCGCAGCCCCTGGGCCACCAGCCCGAGCGGGAATACCAGCGTGGGGTAGCTCCCCACACAACTGACTGCTCTGGAAGGCCGGGGTGGGGGGACAGCCTGCTTCGCAGCAGAAGAAGCCGAGAGGGGCGCACAGCGGCCCAGCCCCTTACCCTGAGCGTTCACAGTTGCTGTCCAGTTGGAGCCGGAGCCGTGCAGCAGGTCCGCCTTGAAGGGGCTGGTGTTTGGGGGAAGGTCCAGGTCTACAATATTTAACATCTGGACCACTGGGTTCTGATTGCAGATGTAAAATTCCCGTGGATCTGGCACTGGCCCATTGTCATTCACATCCGTGAGGGTCAGCAGCAAGGTCCCCGTGCCCGTGGCGAATGGCTGCCCTAAGGGAGAGCGACACCACGGCTCAGTGCAGGGGACCCTAGAATCCCACACACTCTGCCGCCCAGCTGACTCCCACACCTAGTACGAGCACTGCATGGGCAGCTGGGGGAGAACCCAGCGATCAGATGGGCCGGGGCGGAGGGGACCTGGGCTGATGGCCTTACCAGGGGTGGGCAAATTTTTTGGCCCAAGGGCCACATCTGGGTATGGAAATTGTATGGCGGATCATGAACGCTCATGAAATTGGGGGTTGTGGTGCAGGAGTGGGTGAGGGCTCTGGATGGGTATGCGGGCTCTGGGGTGGGGCCAGAAATGAGTTCAGGCTGTGGGAAGGGGCTCTGGGCTGGGGCAAGGGGTTTAGGGCTCCAGATGGGGGTGCGGGCTGTGGGGTGGGGCTGGGGGATGCTCCAGGCTGGGACCAAGGGGTTCAGAGGGCAGGAGAGGGATCAGGGCTGGAGCAGGGGGATGGGTCATGGGAGGATGTCAGGGGTGCAGGCTCTGGGCGGCACTTACTTCAAGCAGCTCCCAGAAGCAGCGGCATGTCCCCCCTTGGCTGTGGTACCTGCAGAGCCAGTGCTTGGGGTGGGGGCAATGTCCAGAGCCCCCTGGCTGCCCCTATGCGTAGGAGTGGATGAGGGACATGCCGCTGCTTCCAGGAGCCATGGCACATGCAGAGCAGGGCAAGCCCCCGACCCCACTCTCTGGCAGGAGCTCGAGAGCCAGATTAAAAGGCCTTATGGGCCAGATGCGGCCCCTGGGCCATAGTTTGCCCACCCCTGCTTAAACGGTGCCATGCTTTAGTGAGCATTCCCACAGCACTGATTTAGTCCATCTCTGTCTCTCAGGAAAGTGCAGACCACTTGGGGCCATTACTTTTCCTGTGGCATTAGCCCTGGTGTCTTGGCCACGTCCCAGCTTGGGCAGTCACGTTTTGCCCAAGCAGTGTCCAATGGGCACTATTTTTCCTTTTCCTGTCCCAGAATATTATACAGTGCAGCCAGGGGCTCGTACGCCACTTTCCCCACCGCCGGGGTAGCAGCTATTTGCTCTCTATTCTGTGGAGCAGTGCAGGACTTGGGGGAGGAAAGCCGCCACATAAGCACGAGGAGAGGTTTTGTCCCTTTTCTCTTGCCAGGGGCGTCTGGATCCAAACACAGCGTGAAGGCAGCGCTGCTGCCGGAGAGTCGCGAGCGATCGCTGCCTTACTGCACATCACACAGGCAGTTCACTTGGACAGAGAACAGGGGCCCGAAACAAGAGGGAGGTGCGTGTCTTTACCGGAGTCGACAGCCAGGACTGTGGCCTCGTAAACGTTGTTGACTACGTAGCTCGACTCCCTGTCCAGAGGGCGTTTGGCTGTGATGATGCCATTTTCGGCGTCAATAGCCAGCCACCCTGCAGGGTCGCTCTGCATGCTGTACCTGGAGGGGAGGGCAAGCAGGTATGAGGAGAAAGGTCCAGCATGGGGGGAGGGGGAGTGCGGGGGCTGAGCAGGTGGGTGATGCTCCATGGAAACATGAAATGAATTTGCCAGTGAGAGTTTAAGGCTGAAATCTAGCAAACTAGGTTTGTGAATATGAACAACTGGCCCCTTTCATGCTTACATCCCCTGCAGGCGGGGACCGGTCGCCGCCCTGCCGAGGGCTCTCAGGTGCCTGCTAGGGTTCACTCTCTCTCGCAGACTGCTGGCAGGAAGGCAGCTTCTCTCATTTCAGACCAGAGGGGCTGTTTACTTGCCCTCCAGCCAGCCAGAGAGGTGTCGAGAGCACACGGCTAAAGGAACTGAAGGGAAGAGCTCAGGAGAGAGGTGCGGAAGGGTGGATTTGGGCATGCCCACGCTGCAAAATTAAGGCGACGTTCAGGCAGCCCCGACATTAATACACTGTTTCCCGTCCACACTTGCTCCTTCTGTCAGCGGCAGAAGCACTTTGACCGACTTCAGTGGGGCACTGACACCTGGAGCCCTGCTGCCCTGGGCCTGAAGCTGGGAGCATAGGCGCCGACTTTAGCCGGTGCCCCCCCCCCCGCCCCCATTCCAACCCCGTCTCCAAATCCCCTGCCCCGCCTCCTTCCCCCCTCCCCCCGGCCCACCACATTTCCCCTCCTCCCCAGCAAGCCAGGGAGGGGGGAGAAGCGGAGCGGCGGTGCGCTCAGGGGAGGCGGCAGACGGGGAGTAACCTTTGGGGGGGGAGCAGAGGAACCGCTCCCCGCCCCTGCTCGAGCACGCCAGCGCTGCTCCGCTTCTCCCCCCTGCCTTCCGCTCCCGGGCTTGGGGGAAGCGGAGCAGCGCGGTGCGCTCAGGGGAGGAGGCGGTGGTGGAGCGGAGGTGAGCTTGGGGGCCACAGGGAGCTGCCGGTGGGTGCTGAGCACCCACCAATTTTTCCCTGTGGGTGCTCCAGCCCTGGAGCACCCACAGAGTCGGCTCCTATGGCTGGGAGCCCCACTGCCAGGGAGGGGGGTCCAGCTTGGAGCCCCATGCAGAGCTGACAGCCAACAGGCAAGGTCAGTGGCAGGGTGTCTACAGGGACACTACATCGACGAAGCACTACGCCTCTCGCGGAGGTGGAGTTATGAAGTCGGTGTAGTGGGTGACTTACATCGGTGGGAGCTACATTTTAGTGTAGACGCTTACCCAGTTAGATGTAAGCTGCCTTACGTCAACCTAACTCTGTAGCGTAAACCAGGCCTTCGCATTACCAGGCAGTAGCCTGATTTGCCTGGAGCTGCAGGCGGCTTGGCTGTGCTGGACACATAGCTACGCCCCTGATCTGCTTGGTTAGCTGGGCAAACAGCCAGCTCGGTATATTTCCAGTTACGCAATTTTCAAGCATGAAGGTAGATTGTGCAAAGGTAGGTATGAGTTTTGGCAGGGCAATTGTACCATGGATCTGCCTGGAGAATTTGCCTTTATTTCCTTTCAAGAGAGCAGATGATTGAGATGATTTCCGATGCAGGAAGGAGGAGTTTGCCAACAATCAGAACCTCCTTAGTGCCTGGCTTTCCCCTGGGTCCATGGGACACAGAAAGGCCATGCACAGGCCACATTGTGTTTGCTCCACAGCATTTCTGGACTGATTAGGGGTGGCCTGAGCAGTTGATGCACAAATCGAATGGCTGCTGTGAGCTCAGTCCCAGGGGACTGCCAAGGCTTATCTGCAGCATTCCTGCCCTTACCTGATTTTCTGCGTCTGGCTCTTATCTGGATCCCGGGCCACGTAGGAGGTGACTTGCTGTCCCACAGGCAAATCCTCTGAGACCACTGCGCTTTTGATAGGTGGATCAAAGATTGGGGCTTCGTTCACATCCTCAACGTTCACAGTAACGGTGGCTGTGGAAGTTGGGAGAGACACGGAGAAGGGAATGTCGTTCATTGCGATAACATTGAGGATGAACTGTCTTTGCACCTCAAAATCCAGGCCCTGGAAAGGAGGCAAAGGAAGGAGTCAGCTTTCCAGGAGAGACAAAATATAAACCCTGCTAACGCCAGGGAGAATTCCCAGAGAGGAGGGAGCAGGGCTGTGAACGGCTGGGAGGCTATTCATCCTGCCCTTGAAGAGAGGACACACGTTAACCGGGTGGCAGAGGAACTCCGCCCATCAGCAGGCTCGCTTCAGGAAGGTCCCTTGAGCGCGCTGTCCCCTTCCCCGGGTGCCTTCCATCCAAGACCCCCCCAGTGCTCCACCCGCATGGGCCCCTCTCCGGGAGGGAGAACCATCCCCACCGCACTGGCGGGGATAAGGAAGCACTGAAGTTCTGTGACAGGATTGCTCAACGCTCAGTCCCCTGGTCTAATCCGTTGGCCGTGCTCCCTCCCCACTCTTCGGTGCAGTCCCACAGGGCCCGTGGGAGGTAGCGCACCGAGCTCTGACCCCTCATGGGCAGGCCCACAGCCCCTAACCAGATCCAGAGGGGAGAGGGAGAAATTTTGGGAACCTAAAGCCCCGAGTCCGTCCTACCAGACGGACTCTCCCCCCGCCCCCTGAGCAGTGCTGGGAAGAGATTCAGAAGAGTAAGTCAGAGTTGGTTCTGGGGTGGCTGAGGGAAAGCCCCTGCGCCCCCAGACAGAGCTGTACCTTCCCGGGGAAGGACTCGCACGCAGCAGGGCTCTGGGGACTAGGACTGGGAGCTCCCCAGGGCACCCTCTGCTGGGGATCGTGCTCCTGCAGCCTGAGAGCAGTGGTGGGCTGAGCTGGGCCGGATTACGTTCCTGGGGTGAATGCGGGTGCATGCAGGAGGGGGAAGCGGTGCAGCTGAGGACCCCAGGAGCCATCCCCCTGGACCGTAGCATTTTCAAAGTCACGTCAAGGTGAGGCGCGAGAGCTGGGTGGGCACAACTCACCTGGGAAGTTTTCAGGAGCCCGTTGTTGTTGTTGGGATCCGTGGTTATGGTGAAAAAGCCCCCTTCGTTCCCTCTCACAATCTTGTACTTCGCCTGCCAGGCCGGAGAGCCCTGCTTGTCCCTGTCCGACACACTCAGCCTGGCAACCAGCACCCCCACTTCGTTCTCGGGCACCGTGGCTTGGTACTGCAATGGAAGGGACAGGCTGGACTGTAGGGCGCCGCTCTGACTGGCCAGAACCCTCCACACAGGGGCACAGTGCAGCTGCTTCAGCTTCTGGGCTCCAAAGGGAGCCGCAGCTGGAGATCCTGGGCCAGAATCACGACACCTATTTCCAGGGAGCGCTGGTGGACCCAGAGCTGCTACACTCTCCTCAAGGGGCCCCATACATTGGGGGCGGGGGATGGAAAGTTGCACTGAGTGTTCCAGCGACAGAAGACATCTGTCCCTGCAGCTGCTATTCCATAACTACACACCCAGGGCCAGGATCCACAGCTAGGGGAAATCAGCAATTTCCACCGGCTTCAATGTAGCTATGCCGAGCTAGGATTTGGCTCTCAGCACTCAGGTACGAACACACACAGCAAGCAGGTCCCCAGCTCCCGCAATGGCTAGCGGTACTTCCGTGAGGTTGCTGTGACGTTTACCTTTCACTCATGTTCCTAAAGGGAGCAAGTTCAGGCAACTTCCAGTTAGAGGCAAATGTTTTTGGCACAGAAGAATTTGATTCTCTAACCCCATGGAATAGTTCTGCCCCTTTGATTCTTCACCACATCTGAGGTTTAGTAACTTGACAGTTTTCTCAGGCATCTAATTCACTCTTTGCGCAGCTGTAGCTAATCAACTCCTCTGTGTTGGGAGTGGAGCTCCTGACCCGGGTAGTGCGAACAGAGGTTACGTTACCGTGAGTGGGTCGAACACTGGAGCATTATCGTTGGTGTCTGTGACCTCAATCATTGCTGTGGCTGTGGTAGTAAATCCTTCGCCTCTTAAGTCGGCAGCCTGGACAATCAGCGTGTAGTTGGGGGTCACCTGCAAGCCACAAAAGTCACTTTGGGGTTAGCACCTGGAGGACACGTCAGCCTGCTGCCATACTGGCTGGGAATGGGCTTTGCCAGGCCTGGCCTCTCTGCCTCTTGGGGAAACTTGTTATGATTAGTTTCCTTGCGGCCAGAGCAGCCAGCAGGTGAGACAGGAGGTGTGAGCGCCTGAACTCAGCTTGCAAGCAACACCACTCCTCTGGCTGCGGGTGCCCGCTCGGGGGAGTTTCATCCACTGAAACCCGGCAGTAACAGGTAAGGAAATCTGCTTCACAATTCAGCAGGCAAGCTGTCATTGTCCCCTCTACTAAAAATGAATATTTCACATTGGTAGCCTAGAGCATTTTAACCATTCACTTTTCTTTTCAGTATCTACAGTGAACAGCTTGGGGATTTTCTGCACATATATCTGGGCTTGGACAATTAATCAATGACGTCAGTTTCACTTTGTATTTGTTAGAAAGTGGGTTTCCCTTGATCAGTAGAGTTCCCAGGGCAACCCCTCCTGCTGGGTGCAGGCTCAGCAAAACCATGTTTCGACAAAACCCAACGTGGGGCTGAGATTTGATGCATTTAAATTAGCTGAATTAACCAAACACGGCCAAACTATCGGGCCTCCCATGGGGGGTCAGTTTCTAGCACTGCAGAGATGCCCGTTGAACCCCGCACTGCCTCCCTGCCAAGCACAATTCACTCAGGCCAAGGGCTGGCTGTGCAGGGAAGGTCTAACATGGCGTAAGTGCCCAGGAGAAATGGAGACCGCAGAAGTTCGACAAAGACATCCTGCAGCGTGACACAGATTGTGCCGGACACCCGCCACTGTCTATGCGTCTCGATGCGGAGCTCGCACTTCAGAGCCTGGGGCCGTCCATCCTCTCTGTGCAAACGTAACTATGCCGAGCTAGGATCTAACTCCGACCCAACGCTGCAGCACTCACCTCTCTGTCCAGCCCAGCTGCAATCACACTGATGATGCCATTCTCAAAGTTGATGGTGAACATCTGGTGGTCGGGTTTTTCAGGTATCTGCTGCAGGATGAGGTAAGCAATGACCCCATTGTAGGAGTTTACACTGTCGTCTGCATCTGTGGCTGTCACTTGCATCACGGAGGAACCTGGGCACGAGTTTAGAGCAACACTAATTTTCTCGTTCTAGGACAAAATGAGGCGGGAGACAATTCTCCAGAACGCACTGCCGGGACCAATCCCGCCCTGGCCCGCCAAGGGGAACAGGGGAACCACCAGGCATTTCCCATCCCTAATGTCTGCCGATTCCTCTCTGCAGTCACCAAAGAAAGAGAATAAGTTTGTAAGCGCCTCGGGGCAGGGGCCGGCTGAGTCGTCGGCCCAGAGCCATCGATCTCACTGGGGCGATAGAAAGACTGGAGCCCTAGGAGCGTCTCACAGGTAAACAGACGGCACAGTTTAGAGCCACATTTACTGATACCAAATTAGCTCCCCTGTTCCCTTCCAGTTCTCACACCGCCCCCATCAGCGCACCGAGCGCCTGCTCCCTGCCAGCCCCAGAGCCTTCTGCGAAGGTAACTGGTCCCCTCCGCGGGTTCTGTAGCGAGGCAGGTGGTCAACCCCAGGATGCCGACTCTCCTGCAGGATCGGGGGAAGGAACTGCTGGGTTGGAAGGGGAGGGAGAGCCTGCTTCAAGCCCAGCCACCCGCACTCTGGACAAGGCGTGTCTGCTCAGTGGGCAGATTTTAGACCCTTTGGGTTATTCTGGGATTTAAATTCTTCAAAGCAAAATTAACCCAACACTAAAACAGCCCTTGTCTCTCTCTCTCTCCTTGGAGGGAACCCTCCAAAGCCACATCTCATGACTGGTGTGTCTCAGCCCCCAAGTCGGGGGCTCTGCTCACATACCTGGCTTGGCTCCTTCTTCTATGAAACCTGTGAAGACACTCTGGGTGAACTGAGGTTTGTTGTCGTTCTGGTCACTCACAGTGATGATGATCTCCATGGGGTCCTCCACAGGCTTCCCATTCGCAGACACAGCGTGAGAAAAGAGCTGCAAAGCCAGCACGGGGTGTAAGGCACCATTCAAGCCACCCCGTGAGGCCACGAGCAGCCAGCAGCGCCCGCCAAACCCAGCCATGACTCTGAAAGCAGCGGCCATGCTTGGCTTGTGCACGGCGTTCCACGTGTCCCTGCAGAACGGGAGCCCGAGCCTGGCTGGCTTAGTCAGAGGGGACTTGCCTTCGATTCCCCAACTCCAGCTGCTGGCTGACCATTTTCACCAGGGTCTTGAGTTCACATGCAGGCCACACGGAACAGGTCCAGCATGGGGGAATTCTGCCCAGCTCAGCCTAAGCCAAGGGTCCGGACAGCAGCCTTCAAAGGGCCCATCCAGCTCCCCTCCACACTCGGAGGATAATCACGGGCTGCCCATGGACAGTGAGGTCCTGTTACCCAGGGAGGGGCCAGTCTGGGCTGTCCTGACCCATGTGGATTTATGGTTTCTCCTCCCTGCTGGGCCAAACCCCGACATCGGTAATGGACACGGAGCCACTGGCCAGTTCTGCTCTGCCCAGCAGAGACCCACGGGCCTGTGACGAAGCGTCCAGCCAAGCTTTCGGAGACAGGAGGTGCACGCTGAGCGCGTCTCCAAGCAGCAGGGGCCCTGCTGAGGCAACGAGCTGGTGCTAGGCTGTCAGCGCGCTCCAGGCCCGATTCTCAGCAGCACTCAGCACCTCGGGGAAAGAACCAGGCCTCAGGGCCAAGTGCTGACGTGGCCAAGTGACCAGGGCCGGGCACAGATCAGCACCTCCTCTCTGGCTTTACTCTGCCAGGCCTCGGGGAAGAGACCATGATGGGGGAGGGGAGGGCAGCTGCCCTCTGGACCGTGCGGTACAAGAAACCGAGTGAGACCCAGTTCATCGGAGCCTCAGGCCCTGTCCCAGCCGCCTCCAAGCTCCAGGGGCCATCAGTCCCTGAGAACATGCCCCTTCTCCATCATTGGCACCCAGGGACTCACCGTGTAGTTGCTGATGTCTTCTCTGTCCAGCGGCTTCGTCACCTTTAGCTGCCCCGTCTCCCTTTCGATGATGAAGACGCCCACAGGGGGCTCGTCTGCGCCCCGCCCCGTGATGCTGTAGAAAATGTTGGTGCCGTTGTTGGATTTGATCTGGTGCCAGAGAACGGGGCAGGTCAGCCAGGGGTTTCTGAGCACGGGGGCCGCCCCAGCCTGTGCTCCCCTCCCATCTTGCCAGAATCCCTCCAGTCCCCGAGAAGCTGCCCTTCACGTTCAGGTTCCTGCTCAGCCCCACATGCCACCCCATTTACCCCATTCGGGGGTACGGCGGAGGAGGACAGGCCTGGAAGGCGGGTTTGGTGCTACACAAGCCCAGTAGCAGACAGAGGGCTTGGGGAGGTTCTGTTTGTGAATGCTGACGGAGCAGCCATCTGGGGGCAGATGGAGCCTTCCCCACAGCCCGCGCTGCATGGCCGCCCTAGTGCACAAGACCCAGGCAATGAAATGGCTCCTCGGCCCAGCCGGATACGCAGCCAAGAGCAAGTGGGAAGGCGGAACCAGGGCGTCAGATCCCAAGAGTTCTTCCAAACAAATGCCACCCACCCATCTCTCCACGCTCCCCCTCTGCCTTCTCCCAGCTACTCCCCTCCTCCCACCCCAAGAGTGACACACCCAACACACCACGCCTGGCTGGGATGCCGTGCCAAAGGCCTCCCATACCTGAACCAGCGACTTGGGGAAGGGTCCCCTCTCATTCTCAGGGCAGTTGATTGGAGGGATGACCCAGTCCCTCTTCTGCCTCTTCCGGCTGAGTCGGGACTTTGGGAAGATCAATATGTCTGCCTGAGCATTGGCGGGGGAGTCCTGCAGGGAGAGACACGCGGTTCACAGTGAGGTCCCTGCATTAGACACAAGGGGGCTGGAAGTTTTAACCAACTGTCCAAGATTCAGCCACACCCGTTACACAGACAAATCCAGACACTGGTTCTCCACCTTCTGCTATGGGCTTGAGGAGCCATTCGCTGCAAGCTCTTACTAATTCACCACAGGGCTGGGCTGGACCGGAACAAGTAACTGGAATTGCAGGGAACTTCGGCCTATCCCTTTTATAGCTGGGTATGGTGCTTTGTCACAAAGGACGTAACAGGCCCCAGACCCAGCTCCTTTGACTGCCACTGCACATTGAGTGGATGTTTTCAGAGAACTATCCACAGAGACTCCAAGAACTCTGTCTTGAGTGGTAACAGCTCGTTTAGACCCCATCATTCTATATATGTAGTGGGGATGATGTTTTCCAATGTGCATTACTTTGCACTTATCAGCACTTTCCTATCCACTTTCTCCACCCCAGTCATGAGTGTACAGAGCTCCGTCCTAGCCCCCTTACTCGTCCCTTCTCCAAACTGAACAGCCCCAGGCTTTTTAATCTCTCCTCCTGCAGAAGCAGTCCCATCCCCCTACTCAGTCTTGCTGCCCTTTTCTGTACCTCTTCCAATTCCAACAGATCTTTTCTGAGATCGGGCGACCAGCACCGCACGCAACATTCCAGGTGTGGGCGTACCGGGGATTTATGTAGTGGCCTTAGGATGTTCTCTGGCTCCTTATCTGGCCCTTTCCTAGTGGTCCCCACCACTCTGTTCGCTTGTTTGGCGGCCGCTGCACACTGAACAGATGTGTTCAGACAACCAGCCACAGCGCCAATCTGAGAGCCCCGCTGCAGAGCACAGGAGCCAGAGCTGGAAGAGGTCCAAACTCCTAACTTAGCGCTAATCCTGCCCGTTGCCGAGTGTCCTTAGCTCCCGCTGACGCGGAGTAAAGGGTGCTCAGCAGCTCGCAGCACCAGGCGCTTGAAACGTACAGCCTCCCTTTCACCCCACCCCTCCTCCGCTCGAGCGCAGCGGCTCCCTGGCAGGAGACTCCGCTTTGCTCGGGAGGACAGCGTCCCTGCAGCGCTGTGCTCACTCCTGCTCCTCCGCGGGACCAGAGCCTCCTGCTTTGCCTTGGCCTTTCCTCTCGCTGAGCGGTAGCGGCAGGGCACGTGACCTACAGGAGCCCACATGGAGGAGGCGGCAGAACGGAGACACCCAGGGTCAGGGACGCCCCCGCGTGGGTCTCTCCCCAGTATTCAGGAAGGGAAGCCGTGGCCCCTGGTTCCCAGCGGGCTGAAGCTAGCAAAGCCTCACAGACGGTACCCAAGGACGCTGACTTTCCTTGCCCTCGTTCGTAGAGTGAGCCAGCCCCAGGAGAAAGCCGCGGGCTGAACGGCTGCCAGCAGCTTTATCCTGCCCAATAGCTGACAGCCGTCCCCCTCCCCCAGCGCAGCTGGCAGTGTGCCACCGGACCCCCGGGGGGCCGCCCAGGCTCTGCAAGGCAGAGGCAGCCAGGCAGTCACGGGAGAGACCGTTCTGCTGGCAGAGGATGAGCCCAGACTGGCCCAGGGCTGGCCTGAAGGGACACAATGGCCCGCAACGGATGCTGCATCAGATGGGCCGAGCCGGGGCAGACGGGTCGCACGAACCAGGCCCGCTGGGTTTGTCGCCATACCGTGTGCCGGCGGTGCCGGTGCCCCTCTCTCTTCAGGGTGACCTTGGCAGAGTGCTTCTTGCTGGCAGAGTCCCAGGCATGGATGAAAAAGCTCTTTTCGTGCCCATGGAGCTGGAGGGGACGTTTGACTGAGACAACTCCGTCCGTGTGCACTTTGAAGCGTGTGTCATCCGACAGGTACGCTGTCCGCTTCCTTCCTGCACAGCTCTCGAAGCTCACTGCGGAGAGAGAGACAGCAAAGCCCGGCAGGAGAAGGGGGTTAGAAGCGGAGCCATCTGCCCATCTGCATATTCCAGTCCCTGGCAGGCCAGCGAGGGCTACCCCCACCCCGCTGGAGACCAGGACAGCCAATAGCCGGACGTTCCTCTCTCCGGACCGAGCCCCACCCACGCTAACCCCGCCAGCCAGGGGCCCAACGCGCCCGAGCGTCGAGATCGCGAAAGGGGATGGAAGGGGCGAACCAGCAGGTCGATGCCTCCTGGAGGGCTGGTGTTAAAGCCTGAGCTTTGCCAGCCTCCTCGCCCGTAACAGTGGGCTGAGGGCAGGAGGTTTCACTGAGCTGCCACCCACCGAGCACAGGCAGAACCCGGCTCCTTTACAGCAGCCAGCGGCATGGCAGCGCCATCCGCGAGTCCGCGAGCAGTTCGGAGGCCAGGCCACAGCAGTGCAGAACATCCTGGACTCAGTGACAAGGGCCATGCCGAACCCATTCGTCGCTACGCAGCTCCCCAGCCACAAGGCCTTAGCAACTCAGCCTCACTGCTAATTGCTCTTCCGAGGCCAGGGAGAGACCGCTAGCGCCGGGCGGGGCGGGGGGGGTTCATTAGCAAGGTTCTCAGACTGCAGGGACACGGTGGTTGAGGAGCTAGGCTGGGCTATCACTTTAAAGGGAGGTTCTGCTGGCAGCAGTGACAGGGCCGTGAACTCCACCCTGGAGTACTGGGGTGGGAAGTGGTGACCTGCGTATTCGCAGAGTCTTCCATATAGACACCATCGGCGAGCTGTGCGGTCGATCACCTCCACTGGGACACCCAGGCCGGGAAAGCGCCTCAGCCAGTCCTCAGAGGCGGTGACCGAGCAGGTTCACATTGGAGCTAAAGGTTTCAGAGGGGGAGCCGTGTTAGTCTGTATCAGCAAAAACAACAAGGAGTCCTTCGAATCCTAGAGGATCAGGGTTGGAAGGGACCTCAGGAGGTCATCTAGTCCAACCCCCTGCTCAAAGCAGGACCAATTGCCAATTTTTTCCCCAGATCCCTAAACAGCCCCCTCAAGGATTGAACTCATAACCCTGGGCTTAGCAGGCCAATGCTCAGAGCACTGAGCTACCCCCCCTTGTGGCACCTTAGAGACTAAACACATTTATTTGTGCATAAGCTTTTGTGGGCTACAGCTCACTTCATCAGATGCACCTTCTTGTCAACTGTCTGTAATGGAAAAGGAGGACTTGTGGCACCTTAGAGACTAACAAATTTATTTGAGCATAAGCTTTCGTGAGCTATAGCCCACTTCATTAGATGCATTCAGTGGAAAATACAGTGGGGAAATTTATATACACAGAGAACATGAAACAATGGGTGTTACCATACACACTGTAACAAGAATGATCACTTAAGGTGAGCTATTACCAGCAGGAGAGCGGGGTGGGGGGGACCTTTTGTAGTTATAATCAAGGTGGGCCATTTAACGGGGGGGGGGGGGAGGGAGAGGGGAATAAACAAGGGGACATAGTTTTACTTTGTGTAATGACCCATCCACTCCCAGTCTCTATTCAAGCCTAAGTTAATTGTATCCAGTTTGCAAATTAATTCCAATTCTCTCCTTGGAGTCTGTTTCTGAAGTTTTTTTGTTGAAGAATTGCCACTTTTAGGTCTGTAATCGAGTGACCAGAGAGATTGAAGTGTTCTCCAACTGGGTTTTTGAATGTTATAATTCTTGACGTCTGATTTGTGTCCATTTATTCTTTTACGTAGAGACTGTCCAGTTTGACCAATGTACATGGCAGAGGGGCACTGCTGGCACATGATGGCATATATCACATTGGTAGATGTACAGGTGAACAAGCCTCTGATGGTGTGGCTGACGTGATTAAGCCCTATGATGGTGTCCCCTGAATAGATACGTGGACACAGTTGGCAACAGGCTTTGTTGCAAGGATAGGTTCCTGGGTTAGTGGTTCTGTTGTGTGGTTGCTAGTGAGTATTTGCTTCAGGTTGGGGGGCTGTCTGTAAGCAGTGCTTACATCTGATGAAGTGAGCTGTAGCTCACGAAAGCTTATGCTCAAATAAATTTGTTAGTCTCTAAGGTGCCCCAAGTCCTCCTTTTCTTTTGTGAATACAGACTAACATGGCTGCTACTCTGAAACGGTCTGTAATGGGCCACTCTCTTACCACTTCAAAAGTTATTTTTCCTCCCTTGGTATCCTGCTGTTAATTGATTTAACTCGTTACACTGACCTCACACTTGGTAAAGCAACCCCCATCCTTTCATGTATTTATACCTGCTTCTGTATTTTCACTCCAGGTAGCCGATGAAGTGAGCTATAGCCCACGAAAGCTTATGCCCAAAATAAATTTGTTAGTCTCTAAGGTGCCACACGTCCTCCTCGTTGTTTTTACTAGAGCTAAAGCAGATGCTGCCCAAGGGCTGCTTTGGAGCAACGTTGCCTGACCTGAGATCTCAGACATGACAGATGCCATCGGCACCCTTCTCAAAAGAGAGGCATCACTCCTGTATTCTTCCAGGCGCCATAACCGCCCACCCAGTCCTAGGCTGCTTCTAATCAAAGCTACAGGCCCCGCTTCCAACAGCCAACCGCCCGCTCCCCCGCCCCGGGGATGCTGTAGAGGCACAGAACTGAGGGGACCTGTGCCAGTGAGTCTCTCAGCCTCCAGCTGAGGTGCCAGTCTCAGCCAGAGGGCACCCGTGCCCCAGTCTCCTTGGCCCACGTGCCCCGGGCACAGCAGCACCCGTGACAAAGCAAACAAAGCGACGTTCCCCTGAGTCGGTGCCAGCAGCACAAACCGCAACGCTGGGCTCTGGGAACTGCCCTGGTCTCCTCAGGGTTGGTTTAAAATGGGTTTCACTGGGAGTGAGAGAGTTATGGTGGGTTTCGTGGGGCCCACGCTGGGACTATCTGGTCACGAGCCTGGGTGGGCATGGCCGGGCCGGGCGCTCTGGAGGCCCAGCCATCCCGCGCTGCTGGCACAGGCTGGAAGGGGATTCCTATAGCTCGCAGCCCGGGAGCCGCTGGGGCGGTTTGCTGCACCCTCTCCTCGAAATCATACCCTGACCGGGGCACCAGCAACTTTATTTATGGGGAGGGCGGGGGCCGCCAGCTGCTGTTCCAGACTCCACTTATCCCACATTTATTAATGCATGCCCCAACTTTGGGGAGGGGGGAGGGAAGGGGAGTTGTCTTCCCCATGCCTGGTCAATGCTGAATGCAGGCTTCCCTCCCCTCCCTTCCCCTCCGCCCCCAGCACAGCAGGGAGTCCCAGGTGCTGTCTAAGCCCAGGGCTAATGGCAGCCCCGCTGCTTTGTCCTCACAGCTGCTTTGTCCTCACAGCAGGAAATGGCTGCAGGACCCCACGCCCTCCCCTCCCCCAGGAAGCAGGGTGATTAACCTGGGAAGGGAAGGTCTGGAATGCGGCTGCTCCCACTCCAGGCAAACATCCCAAGTGGTTACAGTGAACGTAGGTGAGACCCACCTACCTCTTTCCGGGGGTCAGCCCCCCAGAGCTCCGACTCAGCCGGGGGCTCATTGCCCCAACTCCCGGATCTCACCCCGAGGAAATGAAGCATTGTCTAATAAGGACCCCCCCGCAGAGCCCATCCCAGCTAGTGCACTAGGTTATTAATGCTCTGCCCAGTGAGAGCCAGGCGGGGGCGGGTCACTAAAAGCTTTCACAGTACAGCCCTGCTTTAATGGCCTCTCAGGCTCTCCTTGCTAGGCCTGCCAGCACCAAACAGGGAGCAGTTCAGGGGGGCGGGCTCCACAACCCGCAGCCCCCAGCTGGAGAAGGGACAAGCAGGGTGAGCCAGTGCCCCTCCGACTTGGGTCACCTCCCACTGCTGGCCCCTGCTCAGCATCGTGTCTGCACAGCTGTACGACAGGGGCGGGAAATGCATCCTAGCAGGGCCCAGACAATCGATAGCGCAGCCTTCAGAGGAACAGCGACATTAAAAGCAAAAGCTGCCAGGGGCGCGGAGTGGGCCCCGCACATCAGAGCAAGCGCTGCAGGCACGAGCAGGACTTTCCAGCCAGCCACGGCGGAGGCTCCCTTCACTGCCCATCTTGCAGTTACACAGCAGCACAACTCAAGAACTTTTTGCCCGCAGGCTTCTCGGGCTGTGAAGCGTCAGACCCAGAGCAGATCCAATACCCCAAAGTGCTCACGTGCGCCAGGACAGTAAGGGCGGGGGGGGGGGGGGGAAGGAGTGAGACAGCAAAGTTCATAGGGGGTGGAACTAGGGGTGCGGCCACACCCCCAGCTTGAAGCGGTTTCCATCATACGCAGGGTTTACAGCTTTGTTCAGTGGCTCTCAGCACCCCCACTGTACAAATTATTCCAGCGCCCTGCCAAAGTTATGGGGACAGAAAATCTTTCAGGGGACCCGCTACTCCACTATCCGAACAGGAGATTTTCTTTCTCCCTATTCTCCTGCTGAAAAAGAGGGGTCTTTGTTATCTGCCCTCTTTCCCCCATAAAAGCCATGACTAACAGTCGGCTGCATCTGGGAAGGAAGCCGGACTGGTTTGAAACAGAACTTTGACCACAGAACCACTCCCAGGGCGGGTAAAAGTGCTAACATTCACTGTCCCATCCACCAGCCCGAGGGCACAGCGGAAACGCATGCAATTCTCTCATCTGTCCACATTTATGGTAGCATGAGTCCCCTGCCTGTGGAAGTGGTTTTGTTTGCTTCTCATGAGCAATGTACAATGGGAAATGTTTCTCCGTCTCTAAACATCTAACCCATTGGTTCTCAAGCTGTGGGTTGGGACCCTGTTTTAATGGGGTGGCTGGGGCTGGCTTAGACTTGACGGGGCTTGGGGCCGAAGCCTGAGCCCAACTGCCTGGGGCTGAACCCCTTGGGCTTCAGCTTTGGCCCCCCTGCCCAGGTTGGCAGGGCTCAGGCTCCGGTCTCCGTTCCAGGGTCATGTAGTAATTTTTGTTGTCAGAAGGGCTTGCAGTGCGATGAAGTTTGAGAACCCCTC